ATAATTAATGTATATAGATATAAATTTTTATTGTCCTTGAAATATTGTCATTTTAGTATTATTATGTCTTACAAATGTATTGTGTTGCAATTTGGTTTGTATATTTCCTTCATAAAAAAATTTAATATCTAAATATGTTCTAATAATAAATTTTATAATGTCATATTTATGATTTTCTAAGACCTAGCTCTAAATCTTTTACATGTTGATCAAAATTTTTAAAAAGGTTATCAAATGTTAAATGTTGTAACACATCATTAACTATTTTATAATAAATGTTTTTAATTTTTAATTTTGCTTTCAATTTATAAAATAAAAATTAATCTTAAAGGAATTCTATTGCCAGATACTGCTGCAGGCTGCTACCTTCATTTCTCCCAACTACCGCTTTGCCACACGGTGTCGCTACAGATCTTGGCTACCAACGTGAAGTTGGCGTCAGCGGTCCATGATTATATAGTCAAAGGAGCCCACCATGCTATCCCTTCCACCATGGGTCCGTTGCATCTTTCATTTCGGTTCGATCAATATCATTTGCAATCAAATCTTCAGTTGGCTTAGCTACGTTTTCATTTATACATTTTCAAATATTTTATTAAATTGATTAACGCAAATTCAGAATCCAACATTTTCAAGAGATTATGCACATTTGTTTTGACTTCATGTATAAAGGTCCATCTACAATGAGAGTAGTAAGTCGTAAGACGTAAGAAATTAACCAATCACAGTCGATTATTCTTCTCATATTCGACTGTGACTGGTCAATTTCTTACAGCTTACGATTTACTACTCTCATTGTAGATGGACCTTAAATGTATGTGTTAAAACGTCACGCTGAAAATTTCATCGGGTGTCCCACTAGAAATCGATCAAAGTTCTCGGATCGAGAATTGTATAGCCAATAAAATTACTCGCTCCATCCGAAAACGCAATAGATTTTAAATAAAAATCAACATTTCAGAAACTGGCGTGATATGAAGCAAAATATTAACGGACCAATCACAATTGCTAACTCGAGTCCAGATTCAGTTCAGGGGTCTCTCTCTATCTATCATCTGACTCTATGTCCGTCATTGCCGTCATTGCCGTCATTGGCAGATTGGCCGCAAAGGCATCTCGCTGCGGTAGCCTCTGTCACTCTTCCGTGGACTTCCGGGTGACGAGAATCATTTCATATAGCAGGTGTCGTATCGAAATTTACTGAAATGTAATACTGGCGAAAAAAACCAAAATTCTCACTTGTGATCTAACCGAACATAGTCCGAACTAAATGAATGCTTTTGCCCAGGTGCAAGCGCAAGAGCCACGATGTTGTCCTGGATGCAGGAGGCAGCGAAAATGAATCCGTTCTCGTCGCCGTTCACGACGGCCAAGTGCCAGGCGAGCCTGGAGAACGACGCTCGGCCGCTCATCCCGAATCGCAACATCGCCGCCGCCTCCATCGAGGAAGGTGGTCAGTAATCGATCCTCCCCCTCGAATCCTACCCCGATTTGATCACGTGAGTAGAACGAGTGGTCGAGCGAGCCTTCCCGGGGTCGAGAGGTTATGCAGCTTGCCCGCGGCTGCGTAACGTTTCGATGCCATGTGGGGATGACCCCCGTCCTGGAACGGAATAGCCATCGATGCTCCAAGGATTTTCCGCCCTCGTCATTCTTATCACTTTATTTGAGACGCGTCGTTTAGATAAGATCTACACGCCATTTTTTTATGTGACAATCGCGTTACATAATCCGCAATGTGACTGAACGTCATCTGAAGCATGCTCGAATGTCATTCCATTGTCATGTATTTGAAGGCTGCTCGATCGCTCGTTGATACTCTCGTGTTTCTCGAGAATTTCTTTTTAAACATTGGCGCGATTTTAAGGCAATTTCGATTAACTTGATGTTCATTTCTATCGAGATAGATTAACTTCAATATCGGTTTAACTTGTCCTTTTCTAATTTTTGGAAATTAGAAGATAAAAAAATAATTCGAAACCGATTAATTTACATTGATAGAAATGGACTTAATTCAATCAATAGAACTGAAGCGAAATCTCGAATCGCATTGTTTGTTCTCTCTAATTTTTCTCTTTCCATGTATTAAATAACAAAATATTTGGTATTAACAAAGATAATAGGTATATGCAGAAAATAGATAAAATAATAGATATTGATAAATTAGCCGTTAACTAATCGATATTTGATCAAAATCGCTCAAGGAATAACTACGATTCTTATCCCACGATTTCCCGCGATTATGACATTAATTATGTAACAGTAATTACAAAATTCTCCAAGCTCGAAATCAACTGACGTTTGATTTATTGACGTGTGTTGAGCATGTGATATGTGTTTGTATGCTGTGTAATGTAATACATTTTATTAAATTTTTCTTTCTATGTCAAGGCGATACTGGAAGGACGGAATTACCGACATTAGTTATATGAATATCTCCGAATTGACTGAACGAAATTGAAAATCCTTTCACAGGATTGAAGTAGACATGAAATGTAGTAGCAGGACAAAGGAATTTGTAGTAAAAGCGAAAAATAAGACAATTTAAAATTTTTTTTTGTTTTTACTACAAATTTCTTTGGCTCACCACTACCCCAAGTAACAAGATGACGTTAAATGACGTTTCAATAACTTATTGACGTTAGAGACGTTACTAGGATGTCATCTTGCTGCTTGGGACATTTCATATCTATTTCACAATTCTGTGAAGGGATTTTCAATTCCGTTCAGTCAATTCGGAGATATTCATATAACTGCAATGTGTCGGTAATTCCGACCTTCGAGGATCGCCTTAAAGCAGATTATGAATTACATAATCTTTGAATGACAAATCTAACATTTCTTCTTGCACATAGAAGATTCAATCCTCTGATTTTGAAACCTGTGGACGCCGCGGATTGCATAAGATGCGGCCATTTTGTCGTACCTATATATTGGCGCATTATAAAACACGCTTCTCTTAGCTTTGGACGACGACCGAGCATAATTCCCTCGGTTGTCACTCCTGTATGTTGACCGTGACCGAGAAACGCGGCGAAAGCGTGCAGGGTGCTTTTTTTATAGATCAAGCGAGCGAGAGGGGCGAATCCGGTCGAACTTTGAATCCGCGCCAAGAGGAATGCTCGAGATCGATCAGCTGATCGAAGCCTCTGAAATATTTACGAAATGTTTCGATATTTAGAAGCGACTTTCTTAAATTTTAGAATATGAATTTTCAGATCGCTAATTCTTTGTGCTCTACTGTTTAAACAAATTTAATATTTTGCTGCACTCTTTTAAGCGTTCCAAATAAAAATAAGACACACATTGAATATTTATAATGTTAATTATATTATTGATATATTTGAAAAATGATTTACATTTTATTTTAAAGCAAAAATTGTGCATTGGTTCGTATTTAGAAATTAGAAACAAATATAGGGGCCAATAAAAGAGCAAACAAGGGAATATATCATTTAATTTGATAATATTAAAGTGAGACATTTCGAACTTCATTAAGGCCGCGATCCCACAGAATGCTTGCTATATCTAGTATCACCAAAAAAGCGAGACGATGATTGGCTACCGCGTTGCTTGCCGCGTCCTGTGTAATCGCGGCTTAAGTCTGTTTCAGCCACAAATACAAATTTCTATAAATATTATTTTAATCGGAAAACACATAATAGGTATATGTATACGTTTATAAGACTACAAATACAAATTTCAATAGATATATTACATTAATTAAACTAAAATATATAATATTTATATAGAAAATATATAGTAATAATAATTTTACTATTAAGATAAAACTATATCCTAATATGTAAACATGATAAAAAGTCCATGTAGATTCTATGATTTAAAAATTTTAGCGTGCCAGTTTTACAAATGCTAAGTTCAAAATTTCCATTTGTCCGTGCAAGAATTCATAGCGTCCAGTATTTGAAATAAGATCGTTGTCTGAAGTCATTAACTTTTTCTTTAAAAAAAATTCTTGGTAATTGATCTTTAATATAACGTTACTTCAGATGCAGAGTCGTGTTTTTTTTTTTAATAACAATTTAGCGGCTAGTTTACGTGCAAAAGAATAATTATATTGATGAATCAGAAACAATCGGAATGTAGATTTCAACATGCACAAAGAGATCTTTGATCAACATCTTTATAACAAATGATATATTATAGTAACGTTTTTGACGGATCGATTTGTTTTGAATATTGTATTCTACATTTCACAGTTAATCTTCTTAAGTCTATTTATCTATCAAGGATATCAAAATAATAATCATTGAACCGTTCAGTACTTAAATTTAAATTTAATTCGTTTTTTTTTCTTTGTTCTTTGATGTGTATCATTTCCGATAAATTTTTAAAATAATTATAGGTAATATCGAGTATTATGCTATTTTTTTCAATTAAAAGAACGATTTCGACATATGTTCACTAATTACCAAATGTTTTGAAGGATCTAATCTAGAGTAATATCTATCTTCCTTTATTCTTGTTTTCATCTGTCTTTTTGTTTGATCTGCATACGAATTGTTGCAATCCTTAAAATTTTACTTTATAAATTACAATTATTGTTTTCTATCGAACTGTTCTTGTCTTTGTGTGCCTTAATAAATCTAAGGAGTTTGTTCAGTCATCTGTAATTTACTGTATATTCAGAACTATTTATCGCTGATTTTACAATTTTTGATTTTATAATTAATGTAATATATATATAATATATATGTATATATTTTGAAATTTGTATTTGTGACATTAAAAATCGGTAATTATGCAATAGGGGAACGCGGAATTCCGATGACCTTGACCTTGACATATGCTGTCCCTGAGTAACGTTTAAAAGGTTTTAGCCGTCGTTTGTTGGTTGTTAAAAAGTTATTAACAAAAAAAATTAAAGTTTTTTTTTTATACATACAGAGATCGCCAAAAGTTCCGGGCTACCTAAATAATTTCTGACTTGAGATATTGGATTGAAATTTATAGGGTTACAATGACATCATGAAATCTATTATTTATCTTTGAAAATACCTCTTTCAACTCTCTGAGAGGGGGAGGGGGAGGAGTTGAAAATCTTAAATGGGGAGGGCCCACGGTGAGGAATTTAAGTCAAAACACTGGAACACAATTACACGACTTTCTATGCGAAACGACGTCCATCTCACACCCACCCCTACTTACGAGTTGAAACAAAGTCTATAATTGTACTGTTCCACAGTTTTATAATAAATAAAATTAATAAAATATAATAAATAAAATAAATAAATATATATATATATTTATATTATAATATATTAATTAAATAATTTTAAACTGTTTATATTTTATTAATTAAATAATTTTAGAATTAAACTAAGAAACATTTTTTAGAATTTTCAAATTTTTTAAAAATTCGATTATTAGTTTAATTTATTTTTATATTTTAATGTAAAATTATTGACAACGTATATGGGAACTTAACAAAAGTAATATGAAAGCCGATTCACAATGCGCATTTTAGTGCAATAGTCCTGCTGCTTGAACTGTCCGTTGAATTATTATATCTCCGGTTTCGAGAAGACGATGTAGTCTTGACTGCAAGAACTCTCGCTATCATTTGCTTACATAACGATCTGTCTTTCTCCTTCGTGAATAATAAAATAAAAATTAAAGATATATCTTTAATTTTTATTTTATTAACTTTATTCATTAATAGCTTTTTACGAAATGACGAAATTTACGCGACGGTTAAAACTTTTTGAAAGTCACTCAGGCTCATAATCTTGATAACATATGTCAAGGTCAAGATTATCGGGGCTGATTCCCCTATAGTGCATAATCACCAAAATTGTATAAGAGAATTAAAAGTCGATGTATGTGATTGTTTCGTGTATTTACAGATAGTTGCGAATTTGGATCAAATCATTATTTTCTGCTATGCGGTATCGGAGGTATTTTGTCCTGCGGCATCACTCACACCGGCATCACCCCCTTAGATTTAGTCAAATGCCGAATTCAAGTGGATCCTCAAAAATACAAATCAGTGTTCAATGGATTCCGAGTAACTATTCTTATTGATTATTCTCTCTTTTATAAATATATCTGTACGCGACGTAATAATATAAAATTGTATAAAAAAATAAAAAAATACAGGGTGTCTCGTGCTCAATGGTACAGCACTTGTGGGCAGGTAGTGTGGACCAAACTGAACAAAAAAGTCCTCTATTATTTTGCGATCTTCGCAATAGTTATCGAGATATTAATCATTTTAAAAAAAGAAAAAATTTTACATAATGTTTCGCTTCACTATCAAGTTTTCGCTTCACTATCATTCTATGATACTATTGATCATTTTAATAACTTTAAGTCTGTTTTACGAAACTTAAAGTTATTTTGAAAGACAATGGCATTAAACTTTTGTTGCATATAATTTCGAATAATTTAAACGATTTATTAAAAAAATATTTTTCTGGTTTGGAATAAAATATTTTTGTCTCCACTCTCTATGTCTAATCGAATACTTGGTAATTTGTATGATCTCATATTTGTTTTTGGACAACTTTTATTTGTTAAAATAACATTTTTGGTTTAGATAAGATGTACCTAATGTACGATACACTTGTATATACTTTGCGTAAATTTTTTTAAAATTAGTATCTCGATAACTATTGCGAAGATCGCAAAATGGTAGAGGACTTTTTCGTTCAGTTTGGTCCACACTACCTCCCCCCAAGCGCTGTATCATCGAGTACGAGACACCCTGTATATATGGGATATAATATTCTGGACTCTTGTTATAGGTAACTTTCGCCGAAGATGGAACGCGAGGATTAGTAAGAGGCTGGGCGCCTACTGCTATCGGTTACTCTATCCAGGGAATGTTTAAATTTGGTCTTTATGAAGTTTTCAAAGTCCGATATTCGGAGCTGATCGGCGAAGAGTTTTCTTATGAATACAGAACCACTTTATACTTGATATCGTCGGCTTCAGCTGAATTCTTTGCGGATATTGGCTTAGCGCCGTTTGAAGCCGCCAAGGTAAATTGATCAATAGCTTTTCTTATCGTAATCAATATTTTTGCAATATTATTGACGCACTATTTCACACGACAAATTTATATTCTTAAAATTGTAGGTCAAGATCCAAACCACGCCAGGGTTTGCTAATACTTTGAGGCAAGCGATGCCAAAGATGGTTGCGGAGGAGGGTATTTCCGGTTTCTACAAAGGCTTAGTACCGCTGTGGCTGCGTCAGATCCCATATACGATGATGAAATTCGCCTGCTTCGAGCGCACCGTCGAGCTTCTGTATAAACACGTTGTACCCAAGCCTAGGTCAGAATGCAGTAAATCTGAGCAGCTGGTGGTCACGTTTGCAGCCGGATACATCGCCGGTGTGTTCTGTGCTATTGTATCTCATCCCGCTGACACGGTAAGTTTTATCATAATATTTTTCATTTGTTTATTATAATAAATTTCCATTTGTGCATAAAAAATCAGGGCGAGTAAAACGAAAGTAAAGAAACCGTCTTTTTTAAATCTCAATTATTATACCTTTTATGGTATAATATTTGGGATTTAAAGTAAGTTTTATTATATTTTCCATTTGTACATAAAAAAAACAGGGTAAGTAAAACGAAAATAAAGAAACTCTCTTTGTTTAAATTCCAACTATTATGCCTTTTATGTTCTCATGATACATGATGTAAAATCGGTTTGGACGCATTAGGCGTGCAAATGCAAAAAGATCAGTTGACAAAATAAACATTGTTTCTTTGATAACAACAATTTATTGAAATATAAAATATATATTGGTATTCATAATAATAATAAAAAAATATCAGAATTTTTATTCATTATAGTAATAAAAAAAATATACAGAATTTTTATTTTCTACTGTTTATTTTAATTTGTAGAGCTCAAACTTGTACAGTACCTAAGAGATAACAAAAATTCAAAATTGTTTAAAAATTTGCGCGTTACCACACGTTATATCTTGATTCATCATTAATGCTAACATTGAACATTGGGAATTCTTTGGAAGAAAAGAATTACTTATTACTACAGTATCAAATTATTACACTTGCTCTAACGAAGTATTATGTTGAAAATCTCAAAAGAAATTAAAAAACTTTTATAGCCGTTTATATTATTTATCTGAATTAAATATAAAAAATCATATTTCATAAATAATTTTCGAATATAATCCATAAAAATAGAGAACATAAAAGATTAAGCTGATAAGATAATTAGATCAGATGTCATGAAATATGATAAAGATACTTGGCTAGATGGACCACATATAGATGGTTGATCTAACTACATGAATATAGCCACTGTATACATCTCTTGATTTACAATCGAGTCTTATAGTCCTAAATTCCCAACATTTTGAAATATAAATGTCTATAAATATCCTACAAATGTCTGTGGCCAGGTGGTGTCGAAGTTGAATCAAGAGAAGGGATCAAGCGCGGGCGAAGTCCTGAAGAAGCTTGGTATGGGAGGTGTGTGGAAGGGCTTGGGACCGAGGATCGTCATGATCGGTACCTTGACCGCGGCGCAATGGTTCATATATGACGCCGTCAAGGTCTGGCTGCGCATGCCCCGTCCACCACCGCCCGAAATGCCAGAATCTCTCAAGAAGAAATACGGCCTGGCATAAGCGCAGCGTGACGCCGGGCACGTTACGTCACCGACCGGATCGCGTGTTTCACTCGATCGTCGATTAGAAAAAGAGAAGCGTATAAAGCAATTTCAATTTGATCTTCATATCGTGCATTATTGTGAACGATGTGTCTTATCTTATTTTGGATATATTTATTCTGCAGCATTATGTAACAGTGTCGACGGGCCAGACTGCCGCAAGATTATAGAAAACAATTGTGTCTTACAAATAGGTGATATAGGTTGCTAATTGTGCCTATAATTGTCGGAGGCACAGTAAATTTAATTCATAACAGCAATGCGGATTACCCAGAGTAATCCGCGCGTAAGCTGTCACATTGTACATACGAGTGATCGCTGTAAATAAACAGATCGATTACTCAATCACATGCTATATTGCTTGATATTTCTCCTCTTTCCAAGACGACATAACAGTATAACAATTGAATCGCGAACGCATAACAAGGAAAATAATATTTTCTTTATTGTAATATTTTACAAGATATACAGATGATTTAATAAAACTTCCGTTTTCTTATTGCAGACATATTGAACTATGATGTCAGAAATTGTGTGAATTTATTTCATGTAATGTACGTCGAAATAAACTAATATTTTCGCACGGTCAATAATGTGGATCCAAAATATATTAGAAGTCCTTTTCGGGGAGTTTATGCGAATTAAAATAATAACTATGGGCTATTCCACGTGAAGCGGATCAGTCATTTCTCAGAAATTTTTTTAATTTTGCACAAAGGTAGTACTTTGGGAGATAGAATTTTGTGCCAAAGGATTTTTTTCTTATTGCAAAATTAATCGAGATATAAACAATTAAAAATTAGACTACTTTTTTTTCAAAAATTCATAGCTCTGTTACTAATAATGCTAGCTAACTACTTTTTTTTTTAATACGCGAAAAATGTTCTAGTTTACGGGAAAAAAATGAAGATTCCAAAAATATTTTGTTTTCCATTGTTTATTTAACAATAAACTTTTCAACAATTTTTTTAACAATCGGGGAGTGTCGAAAAATCTGAAAAAATTTTTTTATATACTTTCAGTTTTCTTACATCTTAGAAAGAAAACTCAAGAACGTTTTCGAAAAAAAATTTTTTTAGTTCTTGATGTGGGGAAAATCTGTTGACTCTCAGCGTGCGACTTTTACAAAACAGCCAAACTTACAAAATATCCCTACTATACTGCTAGTATGTTGTTCGCAGCCGCTGTTTTGTATTGACTGGAAAGTCAATACTATAAAATCGACTTTACAATATTTAACTCCCTAAACAATTTCATCATTTATTCCGACGATTTCGACTT